GTGGATATAACGTTTCTGTTGAATAGTTAACATGTAAAGGGGGGTTATGCACAGCAGATAATCTGATAAGCAAAGCCCTGTATATTCATTAGGTATGTTAGGCCAAACCTGAAACAAAATAAGCTTAATTAGGTGCAGAGAGGCGAAGCTACTTGTCCAAGGTCACACAATCCATCCATTTTTCTCCTTGATTCTACCTTAATCCAAGAAACCATCACATCTTGTCCAGTCTGCTCCCAACGGCTGCCTAAATAGTCACCAGGCCTTCAGTGTGGTGTCTACTTTAATCCATTCTCCACCTTACACTTCCAGAGACATCTGTTTAAAACACCATCTTACATAAAACCTGCCAATGGCTTCCTGTTGTTCTTACACTAATGTTCAAGTGCTTTACCATGGACAGGTAGACCTGGAAGTCTCCATGCCTTCTCAACTCCTCAGTCTCAGCTTTCTCCACTTTCATGTGCTGTGCTCCAGACATGCTAGCTTTTATACAGTGCATTAGAACATACTGTATTCTCTTGTTATGCCTTAGGAATTTTAAGCCTGCTCTTCCGTTCTTCAGGAATTTTCCCTTCACATACTCTTGCCTAAATAACTCCTCATTGTTCATATTCATTCTTTATATCTCAACTCGATTTTGACTGTCTCAGAATGTGAAGCTCCGTCAGTGAAGTCCACTGATGCCCAGACTAGACCAGGTCTCTTGTAACATGTACTTTTTCTTCATAGCGCCTACTATGTTTGGAATAGAGTAAGTTCAATAGCTATTTGGTGAACATATGAATAGGTTAACAACTCACTTCCTGACTTGGTGTCAAGCTACAAAAAGATTTTTAGTTAAGTAGTGGTCCAGGATTTAAACCCAGGGATTCAACCTCTCCCTATTCTCTCCTGTTACCCAGACTCTATTTTCTCATTCTTCCTTTCTCCACTCCTCTGTTCCTTTGTCTCCAACTTGTCTGGCCAGTGGTCTCCTCACAACAGGCACTGCCCAATCCCACTGGTGGCTCAGTGAGGACTATTCTCAGTTTAATCTAAACACATTTTGGCAACTGATCTTTGTCCAGCAAGAGCTTTCCTCATACACAGAAGAGGCAATTAAATACCTGCTAATATTTAAAATGCCACCATCAGGATATTGTTCCATCCAATAAGAATGGCTGTCCCCATATATCCCTCTCAAAATCCTTATAAGCCTATTGTGGGAAAGGTAACGCTTGCCTTGTCCACACCTCAGAGTCAACACTTTTATGAGTCCATTCTCTTCATCTGGCTCAGAGTGGACCTAGGCACAAATGAAAGAAGGTACTGAAATAAAAAAGAAATGAAGGAGAAAAAGAAGGCCCTCAATTTGTCCACAAGCTAAATCTGCCTCTCTTTTCCTGTCTATTTTCCCATTTGCCATTAGTGCAGAATGGGTATTTTAACTTTTAAACCTGTATATTACCTGTACATTAATTCATCCATACCAAACCAATGGTAAATTGTGTGAATGTGTGTCTGGGTGTGTGTGTATTTCTTAAAGTACCTTCATTTGTATAGTTTGAATCTATAACAATTATTCAACTCACTCACATGTAAAACTACTCTCTGATGATTGTACCAGTTCCTCTTTCTGGCCATTTAGAGCCTCCATGCATGAAGATAGCCTTCCCCACATTTAAATTTCTCCATTAGCAAGAACATCATATAAATGGCTTCTCTGACCACCTAACACTGAAATACTCTGTAGGCCATTAGTGCATTTTGGATTAGAAAACCCAAAAAGTGTAAAATGGGAATTTGTTATTTGAATGCGCTCTAGTTATCACATGGTCAAATAAAATCAATGCAATCACTGAAATAAATGCACTGGTATGGAAGTGCAATTTGTGCTTATTTGGATACTTATTTACTTTCGACAATGTCTGGTTTTCGCATTCACCAGATCTGAAAAAGTAAAAAAACAAAAAAACAAAAAAACAGGAGGAACCACAGCACCTTCTGCATGTATAGATATTAATTTGCTTTAAAGCGATCAACATTAGTGGGTGGGTGGTATCTTTTTCACTTTAATGACCTGATGTTTTCTCCTCTGTCATTTCATTGACCAGTAAAATAAGAATAATAAATAGAAATATAAAACAATGCAACTCTATGCTACCATACTGTTTCTGTACGGTAATACACACCACCACTGGAAAGGTGAAAAAAAATCACTCAACTGAGGCTGGAATCTGGCTCTCACCTTGGCATTGGTAAAGAAGGAAATTTCATTTTTTCTTAGTGCCTTACTTTATGATTCTCTGATATTTTGGTAGCTCTATTAGGGAACCCAATATCTTGAGGGCTATTTGTCCCATGTCACAAATTATGTCTCAGAGGTTTGCCCAGAAGTATCAGAGGAGGTATTTCAGTCTATCTACCACTACACTACAGCCCAGGGAGAAAACAGTACCTAGTGCAGGTGTCTTTATTTGATGACAAAGAAAAGAAAAAATGTTCTCTTCATATTTGGAGAGGTGGGTTTTAGGGGACTGCAGGGTTGTTTGTCCTGTATCACTGTTTTGGGGATCAATTCAATGTTATGCAAAAGAATGGGAGAGTGTGATGCTGATTGGCACTTAAGGCACAGCTTCTGTTCAAGTGTGTTGATTCAATATTGATATCACTGCTTTCTAGTAAACTCCAGTTGCCCACTCATCAGACCTGTTGGTAGCATTCAATAAATGCCAGTTAAGCATTAATAAAATGTATTGCCATTTGAAAAGCCAATGGAAGATAACTAAAATAAAGATTACCAATGAAGTGTTTGTTATTGATTGGTTTATAAGACAATTCTGTTTGGAAAAGCTTAGGTTTATTAGAAATAAAACTCACCTTTGAACGTCACAGATAATTTTTGTTATACTCTATTTGCCATACTTTCCCACTTTATTACAGAGCAGAATGTTGTATCAGGCAATTTCATTCTTAGGATTAGGGATGAAGTTTCATGATCTCTGTGTCCTCAAAACCTAGCACGATACCAGGCACAGCATAAATAACCAGTAGATACACACATACATACATATTTTTATGAGGTGGCACCATAGCATAAAATCAGAACCAGCCCCTGAACACAAACTTGAAGCAAGTATTTCATATGCTTAACTTTTAAGAATCTTTTAAGTGCAGTGATTCTCAGTAGGGATTGACCTGCAGATAATGTGTAAACTTCTTAAAACGTAGAAGCCTGATTGCCACATAAGAATGAATCATAGGAAGCACTGAAACATTAAGTATACTTTTTAGTGATTACTGGTCACTGTGCATTTTCTCATCCACTCCTCCCATAACCTAATGAAAGCAGGCTATTGTGTTACCCATTTGAAAAAATGAAAAAAAGTTAGGAGGCTAGGAGAAAGTAAATGATTGCCCCAGGGAACATGATTAGCAAGTGATGGAATCAGGATTCAGACCAAAGTCCATTTGTCCTTCTTATTTCTATTGTCTTCCATCTATTTGAGCTATTCAAGCAACATCTCCAGAGCCAGGGCTTAAGCTTGTGGTAGTTTTTTGTTTGCTTGTTTGTTTAGTTTCCACAGTGATTCTGATTCATATGCTTAGTTGAGTCAGAAATTTAGGGAATGATTAAAATGAGAGAGAGAGAAAGTGAGGGGGAGGGAGGAAGGAAGCAAACTGCTCAGGCCATTAGCACAGCTCTCCAAATCTGAGTAAAGCTATGTGAAATAATGCATCCATGTGAATCAAGCAGAAGATATTGGGCCCTCACTTCGCTGCAAATCAAGCGTGCTAACACTTCTGTTGCCAGCAGTTTGCCCTAAACAATCTGTCACCTCATAGCAAGGGTGGTCCAGCCATTTATGGTACCATTGAACAGTGCTCATTAAGCCTGATAGATGGGAATACGAGGACAATGACATGATTTACATGCTATCCTAAATGAATACAAAAGGATAGATGGTATTTTCAGTTAACATTGCTGATTTCTCCCCCGTTGAATTTTTAAAGACTTTGAAAAATATTCTAAAGTTAGTGCTATTGCCGAATCAAGAAGCAACCCAGTTCCATAACAAATGCAGATCAAATACATTTGAACTGGAAAAGTAAATTTAATTTGCAGGTTTCTGTCTACATGTTCTGCTTCTATTTTCTTTGATAAGATTAGCGAACAAAGTTCAGAGGGCTTTTTCAGTTAAAACGTTTTCTCATAATGGCAAATCAATCTGCTCAGGCAAACAGAACATCAAAACACTAACAATAAGGAGCTATCATTGGAAGCTGATCCAATTTACACATAAATATACCCACTAACGTTTAAATGAAACTTTATAGAGAAACAAAATTGGTGAAAGAATCTTTTTAGTCTTTTAAAGCAGCTACTTCAATAATAACTGCAGAAGTATGCACAAATCGTGCCAACTCTAATCAATCTTGTGTATTTCTTCTGCACTGCTACAAAATACATTTCATAGAAGGGTAAAGCAAGCTCACAGCAGGCAAAATGTAGTAGCTGAATTCAAGCATAGCTAATTTGCTGCTTAGGACAGATGTGATCTACAGAATTCACCAATCCATCCTCATCAGCTCTGACATGGAGGACTGATTCGCAGCGTGCATTGCTTCTGTAGATTTTATGTTGATGAAATAGCCCTCTTGGATTTAGATGGATATTGGAGATGGTGGCAACATGTGAGCAGAAAGCATATCCTATTTTATATGCTGGCGTTAAGTATGATAAGAAGGTAATTTGTCATGCCAAGCCTGATAAAGTAGGAGCCAGGAACAGGTCTCAGACAAAGGTGAGAAGTCATAGAGAGGGTAGGGGCAAGAGACAGGATCATAACATGGAGAACAAGACGATTGCCTAATATCCATGGATCAAGAAAAACCAAAAATAAAACCAGGTCTGAGAGATTAAGAAAGCAGAGGCATAGCCCCAAAGGCTTCGACATCAGAATATATATTATGAGCCTAGAACACAAGTCTCTGGAACACCTTTGCAGGACAAACACCATCCTCCCTCTAGCCTCTTTTAGAATCCCTATATGAGCACAAAAATGATAAAGAATTTGGGGCTGAACTGCACCCACACCTTTGCCCAACCCGCAACTAACACAATCACTGAGCAAAAAGACTGGACAGTGGGACAGTTCTATTGAAGGGATAGAGAGATGGATGAGTGTACCAACTTTAACATGCAAAGTCTTTGGCAGGGAAAGGCAGTACAGGAGTGTTTAAGAGTGTGGACTATGGAATCATAATGTTCTGCGTTCAAAATCTAATTTGGTATGTTGTTAGTCACACACTGGATAAATTACCTAACCTCATCTAAAAATGGGAGTAATAGTTCTGAATTCCTATGACTGTATTGAGGATTAAATGAATTACTAAATCAAATGAAGGCACTTAGTGAAGTGCCTTCTTCATGTTAAGTACTCAACAAATGTTAGTTGCCTCTATCACCATCATCATCATCATCATCATCATCAAATAATCAGAAGGTTTTTACATTGATCAAAAGAGAGACACTATTATCTAAAACATACACACACACACACACACACACACACACACACACACACAAAGCAGAACCACAGTGAGCTTTCCCTAAAATACATGTTATAAAGTTTATTAATATTAAATATTCTACGAGTCCCCCATGCCCTGTCAAGCACTCTTTCATCTCCACTACACTACTAAAAACACACCAACCAAGATCACCAACCTCCCTGTTGTTACATCTAGGAGAAAATTTTTACTCTTCAGTGTGAATCTCTCTTGGTAACAAACGTGTGCTTCTTCTGGGCCTGTGCCTTTCCTCACTCTCTCCTTTATAACTGTTAGTAGCAAATGGAAGATACTTCACATTCAGTGTCTGTGTAGAAATATTATCTGTCATGTTATAAAATGAGAGAAGGCATACAAAGGTAAGGAGAAGACATTAAGTAGGCTGAAGAAGATGAATCAAAGAAGAGGTTTGTATATATCCTCAATTCCCAGGCACTTGTCTTCTTCTATCATGTATCTTTGGCAAAACCCAAATTTGAGTTAAGTCCAACTCCTTGATGACTCCATGCCTGCTCCCAAGCAGCTTGGGAGCTAGAAAAACACACAACCATACTGTCTGTTCCTGTTTAAACTGAAGGCCTCATATAGCAAGTGTGAGCCGTCATTGCTATCTGCCATCTATTTTCTTGGATAGTTATTTCATATTTTCTTTTTTTTAATTCTCCTTCCCTCTTCCTTTGTCTCAACTGATGTCCAAGCTTCTGATTTCAGTGAGGAAACAGAAGCAATTAGAAGAGAAATTCTACATCCTCCGACTATCACATTTACCCATCTACCAGCAACTGGTACAATAGAGTCTCCCATCTTTTTTTTAACTATTCAAAAACTTTGCCCCTGTCATTACTCCCTCTCATGACTATAACACTGCATCATCCTCATCACATTACAATAACTCCCATCTTTAAAAAAATAAACCTAATCCTTGACTACATATTCTCCTTCCTCCAGCTACCACCCTATCCTTCCCTTCCAATTTAGAAAACAACTCCTTGAAAGAGTTGTCCATCCATGCTTATTGCTCCAATTCAGCTCTTCCCATTCTCTTTTGAAATGCCCCCCACGCCCTGCCAAGCAATTTTTCATCCCCGCTACACTACTAAAAATACTCTAACCAAGATCACCAACCTCCCTTGTGACATCTAGGAGAAAACTTTTACTCTTCATGTTATCCAACTGTCTGTAGCATACACAGAGTTGATTACTCCTTCACCCTTGAAATATTTTCTTGGTTTCTGGGATACTTCACTCTCTTAATTTTCCATCTATATCCATCAGCCACTCCTTGTCTTCTCTATGTTGGCTTCTTCTTACCACCTGACATTTTAATGTTAGGGTAGCGCAAAACAGAATGCTCAGACTTTATCACTTTTCCATCTATACTTCATTATGATCTCATACAGTTTCATCTCACTACAGATGACTTCCAGATTTAAATTTTCCATCCGTCTTTCCCTTGAACTCCAATCGTGTCTATCCAATTACCTATCTACCATCTGTATCTGCATTCTAATATGCATTTCACTCTTTACTTATCTGAAACTGATGTCTTGATTTTTTCTTGCAAACCCTCTCTCTTTGCAGTTTCTTCCAACTCAGTAAGTAATGCCACTGAGTTTGCTCATACCAGAAATCTCGGAGCCTGGAGCCACTCTTAATTCCTCTCTCTCTCTCTATCTTTCTCTTTCTCTCTCTCTCTCTCTCTCTCTCTCTCTCTCTCTCGTATTACATTTTGCATTCAATGCTTTCATCTCCATTTTGAAATGCTATAACTAATCTGACTACTTTTCATCACTTCTACTATGAGCACATTACTTCAAGCCACCATCATCTTTTGCCTGGATTTCCATAACAATCTCCAAATTTGCTCCCAGGACAATACCCTTGCTCTGTGACTGACTGTTGTCCACACAGAAAGTAGAGTGATCATTTTCAAATTGCAGTCAGGTTACATCAATCTCCTGCTCAAAAGTTTCCAATGGCTTAATTCTGCCTTTGAAATAATATTCAGATTGTTTCCCCTGGTTTTTAAGGTTCTGTATGATCTGATCTCTGGTTATTCCTCTGACCTCATTTCCTACCACTCTGCTCCATGCCTTCACACTGCAGTCTAGCTGTGCTGATCTCTTTGTTTCCCTTCTAGCATACCAAGCACACTTCAGACTGGCAGCCACTGCGTTTAGTCTTTCCACTCTCTGGAGTGCTCTTCCTCCAGATATCCTCATGGCTGACTCCACTTCTCTCAGTTCTCTCCTCCAATGACCCCTTGTCAGAGAGGCCTTTCCTAACCATTCTACTAAAAAGACCAACCGTAATTATCCCTTCTCTTTCCCTATCTGCAGTGGGTTTAATAATGCCTCCCTCCACCCAAAGTTCATGTTCACGTAGAACATCAGAATGTGATCTAATTTAGAAAAATAGAGGGTCTTTTCAGAGGTAATAAAATTAAATAAGATCATACTGCATTAGAGTGGACCCTATGTCCAATGACTGGAGTCCTTGTACGAAGAGAGGAGGACAGACAGGCACACACAGAGAAGCCCATGTAAAGACAGAGACGGGGATTAGAGTGATGCAGACAAAAGTGACAAAACATAAAGGATTTCCAGAAACTACCAGAAGCTAGGAAAAGTCAAGAAAAGATTCCTGAGAACTTTGAGAGGGAAGATGGCACTAATGATGCCTTGATTTCAGATTTCTAGTCTCTAGTACCATGAAGAAACAAGTGTCCATTGTTTTAAGCCATTCAATTTGTGGTAATTTGTTATGGTCACCCTAGGAAATTAATAGACCTGTTTTATTTTTCTTCATAGCATCATGATATTATAGCAATTACATGATAATATAATATAGGTCTATTTGTTTGTTTACTGTCTGTCTCCCCCATTAGAATATAAATGTTTGAGGATAATGTCATATCGTGGAGCTAAAAACAGTGCTGGGAACTTCTTAGGCACTCAATGAATGTCACTTGAGTGAATTAAAAAATGAAAAAGGAAAGAAAAACATGAATTTCTCACTATGTGTGAAATTCCCTTTTTCATGCTTATAGTGCTTGCTTTTTCTCTCCCATCCTCTCTCTCTCCTCCCCCTCTTATCTTTTGGAGAGAAACCTAATGTCCCTGGAGTCTAGGTTATTAAAAGGTGATGTTCCCTTTCCCTGCTTTCCCTTTCTTTTTCTCCTCCTGCTATTTCATTTTATTTTTCTCCAGTCTCATATTCATAACAACACCTTTGATATGTACCATGTATGCTTTCCAATTAACAAGCTGTTATTACATCCATTATCTCATGTGACCCTTCATGTATCATGCCCAAGTGCTCAGAAACTGGGCATCCAAGTGAGTGATGATGCCTTAGATAGAACCTGGTCTTGGCTAAAGAGTGCCTATAAGTAAGGCCTTTCCCACAGAGAAGGGCCAGCGAGGAAATATGGGAAGTATGCTTGTCAAGCAAAGCTTTATTTAAAACCTGGATCCAATGACAGGAAAGTTTCTTGACTTCTTTCCTTTTTTGCCAGAGTCTGAGGTTATGCCAGAGAATGCTGCAACCCTCAAACACCTATAGAAAGTGTTCCAGGGAGAAAGTCCATGGCTTGTATTCACCATCTGCACAGTGTTCAGGAAGCCAGTCAGCCTTTTCGGTCGGGGCAGGGGGCTGAGTCGGGAACTGGTATATTGGCTTGCACATTCTGTCACAGGGTAAGATTTTCAGTTTCTGAGCACTACAGCCATGATACATGAGGGATAAAATGAGACAATGAATGTAACAGTAGCTTGTTAATTAGATAGCATACATGATACTAATCAGAGATGTTGTTATAAATATGAGAATGGAGAAAAAGAAAATAAAAGAGGAGGAGCAGAAAGGGAAAGAGGAAATGGGAAAGAGGAGAAGGGATGGAGAAGGTAGAAGAGGGAAAGGAAGCAGAAAATGAGAAGGAAGAGAAATCATCTATTTAGTTCTACATATCATTGGTGAATACAACATACAGAAGATTGTAAATGCAACCACTAAACTTTTGACTCCCTGGAAGTTACTTGTTTGGGCACCTTGGACAAGTCCCTTTCCTTGCCTAGGCCCTGGTTTCTCCACCAGTCAATTTGAGGAGTTCACTCCTTAGATGCTCTCCAAGGACCTGCACAACTCTGACCTCTGTTAAGTCTATAATCTTTGCATTTGCCAGTTTAGTTCTGTAATCTGGGTCAGTGGAGCCACTAACCATCAAGGCCAACAGGGACACAGTTTGGGGACTTAGCAGATGTCCTTGAAAACAGGCAAAGATTCCCAGTGCCAAAATTATTTCAGTACATGAATGGAACCTTAGCTGCCTTTCCATAGTCCCCAGCTTTATTCCCAGAAAAACATTCTCCCTGGGGGCTTGCTGATGAATGTCTTATTTTACGGTTACTTTTCCTAAAAAATAGATAGCACAAGCTATCATTTGTTTCTCTGCACAGAATAAAATGGTCCAATGAAATTCAGCCAATTTGTCCTTTAATACCTTTTATTGGCTCTTTAATGATGAATTCATTTGAGCACTTGGCCCCAGAACCTAATTCACAGTAACTCTTAATGTAAATGAGACCTCTTATAATCTCTGCTCCTGGCCCCTTTTGAACTTTCATAAATCACACCTCGCTGCCTCAGCCACAGCCACTCTAGTCTTATTTGGGAAAGGATCCGGCATGACAGGAACCACACTTATAGTTCCACAGAAATTAACTACAGGCAGGTATCCCCAGAGGAAACCAGCTTAGACTAGAAATTGAGGGGGCACAGTCTATGAACACCATGTTGCTTCCTTATTGTTAAATCTTTCCTAGATAACTGGTGCAGAATCTAAATCTCTTGCCCATATGTGGCCTCAGTATACTTTACAATTCAAAAAAAGGACTTGTGATATTCTAGAAAGAATATTGGATCTAGAACCAAAAAAAAGAAAAGTAAAAGTTTTGCTTTACCACTTACTGTGCTTTGGGCAATTTACATAATGTCTCTGAGCCTCCTGACTCTCTTCATCTCTAAAATGGAAATAATAATAGTACATAACAATAATGTTGAATAAGGTACCTTTATCTAAAGCACATAGCACAATGCCTGGCACATATGTGTCCAATAAATATTAGCTATTAGCCACTGATAGTATTAAATGAAATGATGGGTGTGGGTATGCTATGTAAAATAAAAAGAACCACCCAAAGTGGGTTTGCAAAAAGCTGACTCTAATGTGATCAACTACATTTTAGCCTTAGTTTCATTATATTTCATAATTATCACCATGAGCAATGGTCACATATTCAAATTTGTCCAAAGGAGATAATCATAGATGTGGGCACAAATTTAGGTGCAAGCTGCAGCATCATTATGATAGCTGTCAAATGGAAACTACCTAAATGTCAAAAAAAAAGCCCAGTTGAGGAAACTGTAACATCTACATACAATAGACTACCAAGCAGCAATTAAAATGATGCTCTGAAATTATATTTATTGACACAAAAATATGTCCGATATGTACTGTCCAACAAAAAATAAGATTAGGAAACAGAGGTTCTATTTTATATTTTACAAACCTATCTTGAATTAATTTTAACAAATTTTTTACCTTGTGAAAAAAATAAGCTGTATCATATAATCTTACTTTTGCAAATACATAGTATATATCTTAAAGTGCAGAGAATGATTCCCAAAGACATTACAGGAAATGGTGATTATGCCTAGATAACAGATACTTAGTTGACTTTTACTTCTTCTTTGAACTTAGTTGGAAAACTTTCCGGGTTTTGTTTTCAATAATTTGTTTCAAACAATGAACTTATATCTGTTCGATGCCATGACAGGTAGCATCCTAACCGTTAGTCTCTAAGTCTCTCAAAGTGGCCAAAACTTGGTTTCAGAGGCTGACAGGCTGGTTTCAGGGAGATATGAGCCTCAGCACAGACAGGCACCAACCTACTGCTCCCCAGACATACTGTGTCAGAGAAATAAAGGCAAAATATAAATTTTTAAAATTATGCCATTCAGGAGGAAAGAGCAAAAGGGGGAGTGATTACTTAAATGGATATGAAGTTTCCTTTTGGTGTGATGAAAGTGTTTGGAAACTAGATAGAGCAGATGGTCGAACAACATTGTAAATGTATTAAATGCCACTGAATTGCACATTTAGAAATAGTTAACACTATTTTATTATATATTGCTAAATAGCTAGAATAGTTGAAATATTGCCAATGCAATAAAATAATAAATGCTTGAGATTATGGATACCCCAAGTACCCTGATTTGATCATTAACATACTACATGCTTGTATCAAAATCGCATGTACCCCATTAATAATGTACAAGTATTATGCATCTATAGTAAGAAATTAAAAATTGAAAAATGTGTTAACTCTATGTTGCATGAATTTCAGCTTAGTAAAAAAATAAAAATTAAGTCACCAACTAAGTGCAGGTAACTTCAATATTCATGTGAAAATTTTGCCTCTTTAGTTTTTGGGTGGTCAACATGTAAGCACCTGTACAACTAGATCAAAATTTTAACAGAAGCCTTTTTACTTTGTTGTAGAGAAATGTATATTATTAACCAATATGGAGATTTCATCATGTCTTTATCATAGTCATAGGATGTCAGAACTGAAAAACAGCTCAGCCAGTTCATTTTACAGAATAAGGAACTTAGGTGAGAGAACAAAGGCTTGAATACAGAAGTTAAAAAAAAAAACAAACAAACACAGATTTAGAATTCAAGTGTCCCTGTTAAGCATTCTTTCCACCATAGGTAGTCTTTTCTTCATTTATTTTTCTGGACCTCTTTAAGAATTATTTTTTAAATAAATATTTACTCTTTGATCAGATTCTCTGCCTTCATGCCATTTTCCAGAAATTGCTTTGTGAACCCAAAATCTTTTGATGTACTGTACATAGGTCATATATTTTGATGGCTATATTGAGAAAAATCATCCTTGTTTGATATAGTTATTTCAGTTGTGATAAGCAGGTGATGGGTTTTGGATTAACTCACACCTTCTTGGCCTTACCACTTTATCCCTGGGAAAGCTGAAGATCTGGGTTTTATCTGGGACTCAAAAGCACTATCATTAACACAGCAGTTTCTGTGTCTGAGCATCTCAAGCTGCCCTGATTCCAAACCCCAGCTAGATTGTTTATTTGCTGGACAAAAACATATTTCCATCAACAGCCAAGAAAATTATACCTTACTTGATCTTTGTATGGATTAATTCCGAGAAGGCCTATGATCAAATGGCTCTCAAATTTGTCTCCACAGTTTAATAGTACAGTTGCCAGTGATCTTCTATTTGGAATCAGAGGAACATTGACATGAGGGAGGCAGCAAGGAGCTTCTGGAAAATCTTGTTAAGTTTCATGTCACCAATTTGCAGTTTTGCAATATGTCCATGTGGCCATTAGGAGTCTGAACTGAAGTATGTTATTCCTGCAAAACAGCAGGTTTTCAAAAACATGCTGGGCAGCTATGACATTGTTAGGAGTTCTGATACATTTGGGGAGAATGATCTGTTTTGAATCTGTATCCCAGCCTCTAGGGGTTTACCCATTGCACATCTCGGCAGTGAAACCCTATATACTGATTCAACATCACTCCTTAAGCTTCAGAACACACAAGATTAAGGAATTCAGTTTGTTTCTTGCCTATCAGAAAACCACTGATGACTTGGTAAGTAATAACTTGAGCAGGAAAGAGAGGAGAAGGAATTCTATTTGGTAACATATCCCTATCTGTGCACATAATCACTTTAGAACCAAGACCAATTTTATGATGGGGCTTT